TAACTGTGTTTATTCTATATAACATACCACATATTTTAGGCGAAATGTTTCATCGGATCTTGGAAAAGAAAATCTTTTTTTTTTCTTATATCAAGTGTAAACGGATAAAGATATTGCGATGAAGTATAAGTAAATATCGACAACCCTTTATTTGTTCGAAATGATTTAAACATAAAAGCCTTGTGTAAAAGGTAAAGAAAATTCAATTTAGACAACAAATGCAAATATAAATCTATTGTTATACAAAGAAAAGGTCAGAGCAGGGATCTATCAATAGATTGACCGAATGGAATAGTTAGACATATAATGCACTGCACATATAAACCAGAAAATTCTGTTCAAAATTCTTTTTAACATAAAAGATCGATATCTAGAAAAAGTAGATCGCGGTTAATAGAATTGCTTGAGTGTGTCTGTTTGTTCTTCTGTACTCATTTTTCGTCTATTATTGTATTTTATGATGTAAGGCCAATAACTTTATAATGAAGTGACCTGTTTAAGAGAAACAGGTGTGAAAAAATATGACATTGGCATCCTGTAAGACCTAGATTTTCAAAATAAAAAAATACTGCAAAAGTAAAAAAAAATTCTTTTGATGACGCCTTGATTTAAATTATCTCACGTATATTGCGGTTTGATTAAGTCTAAATAAATAGTTTCAATAAAATGAAAACGTGTCGCGTGTCTCTCTTAGGAGTGGTCATTGTCATTCATCAATTTAAAGGGCTTTTAGAGTTCACATATTCATTACGTCATCATATGCTATTAACATACAAATAAACACCAGCTTCATCATTTAGTAAGATTGATATTTACTATTTTCGGGATGGGTTATTTGTAATGTTCTTTATATAGATACTGATTAATTTTATTGAAATTAAAGCATGCCTTAACTTTGTTACTGCCAGTCAAAGTAATACAATATCAGTTAATGAAAATATTTGATAAAGCACTAAAAGGAAATGCATTTTAGACCATCTGAAAAGGATGAAAACCAAGGAGCTTCCCCCACCAGGGATCTGCACCTGGACCTGCATGGGGGGCCTACGTGGCCCCCATGACCCCTCGCCTTTAATTTTCCTCTTTTTTCCAAATTATCTGTTGGCATCCCTGCACTGGGGGCATTTATTAGAGAAAATACTGTATATTTTACTAACCTCAATCCTACAAGTAATTAAACTTTCATGGATATCAGGTTTTTTTGTCCTGTGTTTTCTTGTGATGTAAATATCATGTGTATTCTATTTAAGTCTATTTTCTGTTCATCCTGACATTTGCAGATCTAGCCTTTTTTCTATAGAAGAAGTGAGAACTGTCATACACTGTTAAATAATTTGCTATTTCTAGCTCCTATTTAAAGGAACATTAATTGAAATGTCATGTGCACAAAGACTTACTTGAATCAATGTCTCTTGGTTGTTTTTTTTCAAATCTTACTTAAAAAACTTCTTGTTGAAATTTAAGTGGTAAGTGCTAACCATATTTTCACCATGTTGATGTTCACTCGGACATTAAACTGAAATTTTTTCCTGATGATATTTTACACTGTTAAAGATATACTAAGCTCAAATTTCATATTTGAAAATATTTATAATTGCTACACAGTCTCTTTGTAAATATAAAATAAACATGTTTCACAAAAAGTAGTTATGTTGTTTATAAAATTCTACACACTATAGTTGGTTACAATATGAATATACAGTGACATTAAAAAACCTGGCAGTTTTCTTAAGAAAAGACCATTTTAACTTGACCTGTAATAGAAAACGCAGCTTCATAAACAATTTTTTTTCAAATTGGACATATACGTTTAGAATTACATAGATTTTAATAAACTTCTTGGATAAAAATATTTGACGAAAGGATGAGAATAGTATATCTTTAAGATTTTGTTTTAGAGGTTGTGGGTTTTTTTTTATATAAAAACAGAAGGAAAAAAAGTATTGATTTTATAAGCTCTGTAGACCAGTAACAGATTTTTCCTTTAAATGATATTAATGTTTTATTGTTGTTTTTTTATTTGCTTTTTTAAAGATTAACTGCTTTTGGGAAGAGTTTTTACAATTTATTTTTAAATTTTCTCAATTTCAATTTACTGTAGGCATATTTGGTAGGCATTTTAAGATTTTAAATATGAAGGTATATTGATTGGTTACTATAGAAATGTCCTTAATGTAATATTTTCCAGTTTTTTTACTGTTACCCATAGTTATGTCTCCCAAAATATTTAGGAGACATATTGTGTTTGCCTTCGGCGTCTGTCCATCAGCATTATGCTTGTCCGGCCTTCACAGGTCAAACTACTGGTGAGATTTCAACCAAACTTTACAGGAGTGATCAGTACCATCCCTAGTTGTGAACATCACCGGCATGTTATGCTTTGCATCACAAATTGACTGCTAGAGCTAAAAATAGTAAAATCTTGTCCAGTCTTCACAGGTCAAACTACTAGTGGGATTTCAACCAAACTTTACAGGAGTGATCAGTACCATCCCTAGTTGTGCACATCACCGGCATGTTATGCTTTGCATCACAAAATGACTGCTAGAGCTAAAAATAGTAAAATCTTGTCCAGTCTTCACAGGTCAAACTACTAGTGGGATTTCAACCAAACTTTACAGGAGTGATCAGTACCATCCCTAGTTGTGCACATCACCGGCATGTTCTGCTTTGCTGCACAAAATGGCCGCCAGAGCTAAAAATAGAAAAATCTTGTCCAGCCTTAACAGGTCATACTACTGGTAGGATTTCAACCAAACTTTACAGGAGTGATCAGTACCATCCTTAGCTGTGCACATCACCGGCATGTTCAGCTTTCTGCACAAAATGGCTGCCAGGGCTAAAAATAGAAAAATCTTGTTGGGCATTCACAGGTCAAACTTCTGGTTGGGTTTCAACCAGACTTTACAGAAGTGATCAGTACCATCCCTAGTTGTGCACATCACCGGCATGTTATGCTTTGCATCACAAAATGACTGCTAGAGATAAAAATAGTAAAATCTTGTCCAATCTTCACAGGTCAAACTACAAGTGGGATTTCAACCAAAATTTACAGGAGTGAACAGTACCATCCCTAGTTGTGCACATTACTGGCACATGCTGGACAAAATGGCCACAAGAGCTAAAAATAGAAAAATATTGTCCAGCCTTCACAGGACAAATTACTGGTGGGATTTCAACCAATCTTTACAGGAGTGTTGTGCACATCACGGGCATGTTCTGCTTTGCTGCACAAAATGGCCGCCAGAGCTAAAATGGGAAAATCTTGTCTGGTTTTCACAGGTCATGCATATTATGGCAGCCAGAGCTATAAATAATAAAACATTTTCATGCTTTCACAAGTCAAGCTGTTGGTGGGATTTCAATGAAACTTCACATGAGTGACCATGCATAATTTTGGGAGACATATGTTTTTGTGACAAAAACGTTACCCTTCTAGTTTTAGCATTAATTTTTACTACATGATTTATCTTTGTGAAAGTATTTGCATGTTTTATGAACAGCTGAGCAGGGGAGCAGTGGCTTAGGTGTCTGTCTCTCAACCCAGGAATCATGGGTTTGAGGCCTAATCAGATCATGACCATGTTTCTTCATATGACATCAATTAGTACTGGTTGTTTCGAAAGTGATTAATATAAGTTGCAAGAACTTTTTTCACAATCAAGCTTAAATGAATGTGTTCAAACCAAACCAAGCTGAGCATAGTATGGTAGGGACATCCCTTGTTTACTGAGTTATTATCCTTAGAATGTTACTGAAGTACATGTACCATATAAAAATAGTTTATCAAACTATGGAAAATATCACTTTTCTCCATTAAAGGGACTCAACTGAGGTTTTTCGACATGATGAGTCTGAAAATAATTTTTCAAAGTTAATGTTCCATTTGATGTAAATTTTGACCAATAACTTGTGTGCAAAATTAAGTTAATAGCTGACTGCATATTTCTGACATAATTCATTTTGATTGTGAAAAATGACCCAAAATTTATTTCTTAGTATATTTCTTAATGATCTTTTGCACAACTTTCAGTTGTCAGCTGATTTTTGTAAAAAAAAAAATCATGATTTTAGGCTTTTAATGAATTCTAAGCACTTGCGTTTATTCTTTTTTGATAAATAGCATAGTTGTATGTACAAATTTGCTATAGGGGCATTGTGCTGTTCCCTTTTAACCCTTTCCCTCATAAGCATATTGTGAAAAATTGCCGTTTTCACTGAAAAGCCTCCTGTTACAAGTTCAAACTGCTATGAAACTATGAAAAATGATTCAGTACTAATCAAACTTGGCACAAATGTTGACTGGACCATTGCCTTTGTAACGACATACTCAGTCTTAAATTTCCTGTTACCATGGCAACGCAACGAGGGGACATCTCAAAATTGCCAAAACTCACTATTTTGCCTCGATTTTTTCCATCAAAATTTATTTCAAAGTGCTGCAACTTCTCAAGGGTATGAGATAGAGTCAAAGGCTTTTCAGCGTTGGTTACATGTTACCTTATGACCGACCTGGGTTCAATTTTAGCCTCTCAAAAGTCCAACATTTTCTTGGCGACACCGCCCCCCCTTCAAACTCCCCAAACAGAAGGGGGCACATCCCCTTTCTGGCAACCCCCTGATGTATCTTTTGGATGGGGGGCTTGGCCGAAAAAGTGCTCACTTTTTTTAGCAACATTTCTCAAACGAAAACGTGTTTGGGGCCCAAATAGGACATTTTTTTCACTATTTCAGGCCTAAAAAGGGGGAGGTCGAAAGTGTGTTGTTTCGCGTATATATGAGGTAAAGGGTTAACAAAAATGATGAAAAACTTTGGAATCACCCAAAATCTAGTTTTTCCATGTCAACATGTGGTCTTTCATCTAATTTTGGTGAAAAATTGTTGTTTTGAAACATTCATAATTTTTTTAGTTAAAGGAAAAATACCAGCATAATTCTTAGATACAGAAATTTTAGAGTTATGATTTTTCAAGTAGCTGTATTAAGTTTTTAAGACTATTTTCTTTCTCTTTATTTTTGATTCAAGACAATGAACCTTCTTTTTCTTAAATGCTTTTTTTTTGTTTTAAGGGAATGCAATGGACGTCATGAAGTTGTTCGTGTTGTCAATGATTTCTATGCAGGCCTTTATCTACATTTATACCAGATTTGGAAAGGACAGGGTAAAACTATATCAGACTCAGGCTTTGTTATCAAAGGTAAGACTATAAAAAATAGTTTTAAGTTTTCATTGTGAGCCGTTAACCTTCCGGTCCTTCCTGATAAATTGTAATGGACTAGTCATGTTGTTAATTTAGGACTGTCCATTGTTTATATGAGGGGTTTGGGACATCAAACTATGCTCTCAAGTTGCAGACATTTTCAAAATGGATCAAATTTGAATTGTTTTTGGCAAGGGGGTTGGTACTTTTAGTACCTGAAAAGGGAGGATGAACCCTTATTACGCAAAGAGTACTCTTGTTGTGGGCAAGACATTATCATGCTTGCATTTTAATGGTTGTTTATGGATTTAATTTTTCCAAGAAATTGTTAGAAGAGGCTAAACATACACTTCAAGTTTAAACATAAGGTTTAAAATTAAGTATATATACTCTAGTTTCATATTAAACCTATAGGGTAACAATTTGAATTATAAGAACAACCTATACTTACCATACAACATGTTATTAATTGTATAAATCTATACACTAACAGTGTGACATTTTTAGACTATGTTTAAGAATTGGAAAAAAACAACAACAACAAAACACATAAAACTTAGAAGCAAAGTAAACTTTATTTTAAACGTTAATAAAGAACCAGGTTTCATTTTATAACTTTAGCCTTTTTATGAGTTATATTCTTTAAATTACATCATTCTATATTTCATCTTGGATTTCAACTTTGCTGCTTTGAATTATACATATATTTCTTTTTTTCATATCAGATATTGAAACGAAAGCAAAGAAATCTCCAAGAGATGTGTTCAGGAAGTTAGATGAATATTTGAACAAGAAGACTGTTGTGACAGCAGAGAAGTCTATTGACATAGGGGGAGAAAACTTTGTCAATGTCTGTGATGACGGAAAATGACAATCCATGTCATATTTACTGTTGAAAATGTTTGTCAATAGTTGGCAATGACGTTTCTATTCCACCTAGTATACAGTTCTCTTAGGAAGGACCATGGCATTAATGTTTGGTCAATTATCTATCTTTGAAAGTTGTGATGTTCAAATTAAATCAAATTCATGTCAAAGACATTTCTTAGCTTCTGAATATCTGCTATATCAAATATCTATAATTATACCATGATGATTCATGACATTCAAATGCCATGTTGAAATATCTAATATTGTACACCATGACATATCTGTCTTATAGAATATCTGTCTTTGAACCATAGCATTTCTGCTATGGTCAGCGAACAGCATGGATCCTGATCAGACTGCGCGGATGCGCAGGCTGGTCTGGATCCATGCTGGTCGCAAACGCACTATGTTGGTTTTGTCATGACGTGGCTCATTTGTTAAAAAAAGTCATGACCCAATAAAGGGAATATTACTGAGGTCTGATAAGTATGTTAGTATTCATCCATAGCTATCTACTGGAATTAGTAACATTACCCAGTCCCTGTCGCTCCCCTGAAGTTTCTAATTTCTGTAGAACAGCACGAATGGACACTTACATAAACTTAGATAAGTAAATATGGTGATGTTTTTAACAGGCAGAAGAAAACAAAATGGATATGTAAAGTATATTTATTTACTTCATTAAAAGAGGATTTGCTTGATATTAAAAATAACATTTATTGGATATTCTTGCTAATATATATTTATATATATTTAGTTTGTTTATTTTATATTTTGTTATGAGTTACTATAGATACATGTGCTTATAAAGTGATTTATTATCTAAATGTCAGCATATAGGGTAGATTACTATCTATTTTTGTTTCTCTGTGATCAACTGTTACAAACAATTGTTGACTTAACAAACAAGTGTTGGGATAGGAATTATATAAATATCAACATTTTTTATTAAAAATTTCTGTAGCACTCCTTAGTATGTAACTACAAAAGTCAAAGACTTCCATTTTAAAAGATACGCAGATGCAAATTTTGGTTGAATTATACACAATTTTGAATGGAATTATTATCCTAAATAATTACTGAAGATTGTGAACTTTGTTGATTCACAGCTTTAATTAAAGCAATTAAAGCCATGGTTAATTGAAGAATAATCCTGTTCTTTAATGACTGTTCTTGTTTAAAAAATGTTTTAGAATTAATTCATAAATGTTCAACTTGTGTTTAATAGATTACTTATTGCTAAAGTTATAGTGAATAACTTGTTTCAATTGAAGTCTAATTGTTATTAACATAATTGTGATAAAATCTTTAAGTTTATTTCAATGATTCACAAGTGAGTACTGTCTACAAGATTATAAATCAATTTTAGCTCGACTTTTCAAGGAATAGGGCCAGGTAATGTATTCCCTCAGGAGCCCCCGTCACCCTTTGGTAAAGTTTCTTCATGCAAATTGGTACATGCAAAAATAATGAAGGAAATGGGAGGTCACTGTCAAAGTTCCATAACTGTAACATGAATTTTACCATCAAACCCTGAGAATAGTTGAGCACACTGTCCTATAAACAACTCTTGTTGTTTTAGTTTCGTCTCAACCCTCATGATTTCATTGGTCAGTGTACATTCTATGCTGATTTCTGACCAATGAAATACTTAGCTTAGAGGATTTCTCAAAAATCTGTGACCAAGATGTCTTATAATCAACATGGTTGTGAACAATTTAGGGGCCTCCGTGGCCGAGTGGTTTAAGTCGCTGACTTGAGATCACAGGTCCCTCACCACTGTGGGTTCGATCCTCACTCGGGTCGAAATCTTTCATGTGAGGAAGCCATCCAGCTGGCTTACGGAAGGTCGGTGGTTCTACCCAGGTGCCCGCTCGTGCCTGAAATAATGCCCGGAGGGGCACCTGGGGTCTTCCTCCACCAATAAAGCTGGAAAAAAAATCGACGAAAAAATCTCGGCGGGACGCTCTAGGATGACCCGACTTGAGTGTACGGTCGCCCATATGGGCTTTCCGGCGGCGACCTTAAATAAACGCATTAAAAAAAAAAAAACAATATAGGGCTTGAACTTACAACCCTTGGTTTAGATGCAGACTTCTTTACCACTCTGCCACCATTGATTGTAAAAGTCAGCTGTACATTTCAAGCTCTAAAAAGATATTATCAGTCGAATGTGTTTTAGAATATAGATATGTCTATTTGATACTGTTCAATTTTTTTCATCATGTCTTTAGTTGTAAAAGGAGCCTTTGAAGATACCTTTTGTGATAATTTAGATTTGGATGCAGCCTGATGGGTCTGGTAAATTCAATTTTAAAAGAATATCATCATTTACTTTGACAAACTTTAGAAATTTAGTTGAGATGAAAATGCAGTTATAGTATTTGATTTAATTCACTTAAAATTGACTACCACTTATATTGTTTGTAATAAAAATGTTATTTGGTATATTAGGTGTAACAGTTATTTTTTTTTTGGCATCACATTAGGTTATTATGTCATATCTACTGTGCACTTGTTTTTCTTTAGATAACAAATAAGGCAACATGTCTTGTATAGCAACATGTACATTTATTCAAAATGATGCAATATATTGTATATAATGATGTATGCAAATTTTATGAAAATACAATGTGCACATACATGACATTTATAATTAAATTAAAATATTTAGAATGTAAAAAACTACATATCAGCTGTTTGTTGTGTACAAAATAATTTGTTTTTATTTTGAAAAGTAATACTTCCCAAATACCTGTATGAAGGAAATAATGTTGGTAATAATAATTTCCTTACCAGCAACTGGTGCATTGTACAAACTAATTAAAACTAAGTGCTCAACGGTTTAAATACTTTTTGAAATAGCACCTTGATATTTTGGTCTGGAACTCTTTATTCTGTTTATGTACAATATCCATGTGTGTTAAATAACCTGGATATTCTTTGTTACAAGTCGTTTGAGAATTGGCCATAATATTATGGAAACAATATAATTTTACCTTTAATAAGTTTTAGAAAAATATTCCATTAGATATAGCTTTATACCCTTCAAAATGTCTATATTATACAAATGAAAATACATGTCAGGCAATATTCATATGCAGTATTTATTTTTCAAAAGATTCATAAAGATAAGTCGTTCGATTGTAAAATGTGTAAAATTATATGTATAATTACACAAATAAGTGACCAAAAATTCTTATATTAAATATTAAGTATTGCTTTTGCATAATCACTGTGCATGAAGAAATTAATGTGTGTTTTTCTAATGTATCATATAGTGTACTAATGTTAACTTGTTTGTCCCTTGTCACTTTTAGATCAGAATTGCAGTATTTCAAGGGACTTCGTTGAGGTTTTCTTCTTTTTTTTCTAAAAGATGAGACTTGGAATATTTTTGTTGTTGAGATTTTGAAAAACCATTTTATTTAGGTTTGGACCAATAACTTGTGTGCAAAATTCAAGATTATTTGTGTACACCCGTTTCCCAGAAGAATCAATTTTTGTGGTGCAAAATGACCCCAAAAATATAAAAAAACGTTTAAATGCTTTACTCAAATCTGGCTGAGAATTGCACAAAAAATATTTTCAATTTAATTCTGTGTTTATTTCTTTAATATTTGTTGCATATTTTTCCATTTTAAGAGTACCAGTTAGTTGACATATCTAAGAATTTCAAATTTCACGTTGTTATGCTTTTGGACCTTAGTGGCGTTCTGGACCTCAGTGGAGTTCCTGTAGCCTTTGAATAATAATCTGACTTTATTTCTTTTTATAATGAAGATATTCCCTTATTACTTTTTTTATATTTTGAACAATCCGTCCTTGTTACTTTAATTAGATATTATTATTTTCTCAATTGCTAATGTTTTTAGTTTTGTACATTTTGTAAAATTGATTTTGTGAAGATATCTAAAAAATAGTATTTGCTTGTTGTTGTTCTTAATTGTGAAGACATGAACATTTGTATGCTCAAATCGGTAAAAGCTAAAAGTTAACGCTGTAAACAGTTTACCTCGAGCCACAGCCCGTGTTTGATTATTTTCTTGCATGTAGCATAAAGCCATATTTCGGGGGGAAAAATCAGGAAAACTAATATTTTATATTAGCACTTTTATTCTTAAAGTAGCGTAAAACTTGAATTTAACAACTTCATTCATAACGGCAAAATGACGTCTTTCTTAGAACGCAATTCATTCATAAAAGGCGCACGGGAATGACTCCTTGAAAGCGCTAGACGAGTGTACGTAAGGCACGTTTCTCAAGCATTGGTGTAAACGGTAAATAATCCTGTCTGATATGCAGGAATATTTTCTATCTGGTGTAAGGCTCAAGTCCTTTTAACTTATTAGCTCGACTATTCGATAAGAATAAGTAGAGCTATTGTAGTCACCCGAGCGTCGGCGTAACCACTTATGTTAAAGTTTTTGTAATACCTCAAATATTTTCAAAGTCCATTGACATATGGCTTTGAAACTTTGCACACTTGTTCACCATTTTGACCCCAACCTGTAGACAGGAGGAGGTAACTGTATCAAGCATTTTGACAGAATTATGCCCCCTTTTCAACTTAGAATTTACATTTAGGTTTGCATACCTACTCAGATATTTTCATATTCTATGGAAACAGGTTTAAATTTTATACTCTTCTTTGAGAGCATAATAGGATTCTCTCCAAGGTCTATAACTGTAGCATGGATTTAAAGAAAAATTTTGTCCTTTTGTTATTAACTCAGAAAATTTTACATTATCAAGGCTTTTTTTACTATCAAGCACTAAAAATAGTCGAACGTTGCTGTCCTACCGACAGCTCTTGTTATGAGTTGTGGTTTAAGAACATTCTTTTACTAAGGCTTCATAACAAACACTATTATTGAAGTCATAAAGTGATATTTAAGTAATCTGTTTTGGGAAGGTTCTTAGGCCTATTTAATGAGCAAGTTCTTTTAACATCCTTTCTTCCTAAACTACTGGGTGGATTCATCTGAGCTTCACAAAAAGGACCCATTAGTGCCCTCTACAAGTTGCCTGCTTAAATAGGCCACAACAGTTGAAAAAAATCAGAAACTGAATCCTAAAAAATTCTCCGAAACAAAAAGATGCTCTAATTTTAGATATTTGACATATAGTATTGCCTAGTGGAATCTGTAAAATTTGTATAAATCATGCCCTTGGGGATGCCCTGGAGGTCACTTTGGTAATAAAGACTTTTAAAGGAAAACATTCAAATATTTTTTTTTTGAAAAAACAAAAAAGCCCAGAATTTAGATATTTGGTATACATGTATAGCATTGCCTAGAGGACATCTACAAAATTTATTATATAAATCATGTCCTTAGGTTTAAAAATGACCACATTCAAGAGGTTAATTAGTTAACTGAAACTACATAGTAAACATGCCACCGGATGAGTCAAAATATTTCAAGAAAATCTCGGTTCAGAACAATGCAC